CCACAGCAGAGGGCTGGCCTGGAAGAGGGTCAACCGGGACAGAATCCGGCGCCCCAACCAGGACTAGAACCCGGTGTGCCGGCACCGCAAGGCAGAGGATTAGCCTAGTGAGCCGCAGCACTGGCCCTCATAATTTCTTTATAAGTAGATCATTTTTTAAAAAGATTTATTCATTTTAAAGTTAGAATTAGAGAGAGAAAGGGGGGGGGGAGAGAGAGAGAGAGAGAGAGAGAGAGAGAGAGAGACAATATCTTCCATCTGCTGAGTCACTCCCCAGGCAGCCCCAGAGGTCTGCAATGCCAAACTGAAGCCAGGAGCCAGGAGTTTCACCTGGGTCTCCCATGTGGATGCTGGGTGCCCAAACACTTGGGCCATCTTCTGCTGCTTTTCCCAGGGCATTAGCAGGGAGCTGGATCAGAAGTAGATTGGCTCCCATATAGGATGCCAGTGTCATAGGCAGCGGCTTTATCCACTACACCACATTGCCTACCCCTGACAGAGCTTTTAAAACTGATTTCACATTGCTACTTGTTAGTGGTCTGTTCAAGTACTCTATTTCTTCATGATTCAATTTTGATAAGAATGGATGATTCCAGCACTTTGGTCTTCTAGGTTTTCAAATTTGTTACCTGGTAATTGTTCATAGTAATTTCTTTCTAACAACCCACTGTATTTCTGTGATGTGAGCTGCAATGTATATTTTTATGTATATGAATCTTATTTTTTCTTATTTAGCTGTCAATTAGTTTACCTTTTCAAAGAACCAGCTCTCTTTCATTGAGTTTTAGGTCTTTTTCTGTCTATATAACATATGTACTCTGAGTTTTATTACTTCTTTATTCTATCAATTTTGGATTTTATTCGTTCTCGTTTTTAAAGTTCCTTAAGGTGATGCCTTAAGTGTTTACTTAAGATCTTTCAGCTTTTTTGATATAAGCATTGATTGCAATAAACTTCCCTCTTAGTACAAAAGCTACATCCCATAGGTTTTGGTATGTTGTATTTCGATTTTCATTCCTTTTAAAATTTTTCAAAAATTTCCCCCTTGATCTATTGATTTTTCATTTCCATGTATTTATGCAGTTTCAAAAGTTTTTCTTGTTATTGACAGGTTTTATTGCACTATGATAAAAAATATACTTGATATGATTCTACTTTTAAAATATGCTGGTACTTGTTTTGTGATATACCACACGATCTATCCTGGAGATCTTCATCTTTTGTGTATCTTTTACAGGTTCTTTCATTGTGGATAGCTTTAGGCTTGCATACAGTATCTTGTACATTCAACCTACTATTATTAATTTATAAAAACTTCATAAAAACTTTAATTGTACAGAAAACCTTTACACTTACTTCCCTACTCACCACCAACACACACACACACACACACTTTGTATTCTTGCATTGTTTACTTGTACATTTTTATATTGTGTATCCATTAACAAATTTTACCTTTCATCTGAGGGATGAAAATAATTTGCACATTTTTATTGCAGAGTTACATTAATCTTGGTGCATAGGTATTTATATTCACCAGTGGGATTTATGATTTCATATCCTTTTCACTAATGTTTAATATTTTCTTTCAGCTCTCTTAGGCATTTCTTGCAAGGCAGTCCTGGAAGTAACAAACTCTCCAAAATGTTCTTTCAATTTATTTATTAAGAACACAAAGGTGTGTATGAATGTATATGTAGGAGTGTGGGGAGGGTGCAAGAGAACAACAGAAGGGGCCAGCTCTGTGACGTAGCTGGTAAATCCACCACCCGCAGTGCCAGCATCCCATATGGGCACCAGTTCAAGTCCCAGATGCTCCACTTCCAATCTAGCTCTCTGCTATGGCCTGGGAAAGCAGTGGAAGATGGCCCAAGTTCTTGGGGTACCGTACCCATGTGGGAGACCCAGAAGAAGCTCCTGGCTCCTGGATCGCCTCAGCTCCAGCTGTTGTGGCCATTTGGGGACTGAATCAGCAGATGGAAGACCTCTCTCTCTCTCTCTCTGCCTCTACCTCTCTGTAATTCTGTTTTTCAAATATAGTAAGTAAATCTTTATGGGGGCTGGCGCCATGGCTCACTTGGTTAATCCTCCGCCTGTGGCACTGGCATCCCATATGGGCACAGGGTTCTAGTCCCAGTTGCTCCTCTTCCAGTCCAGCTCTCTGCTATGGCCCGAGAAGGCAGTGGAGGATGGCCCAAGTGCTTGGGCCCCTGCACTAGCATGGGAGACCAGGAGGAAGCACCTGGCTCCTGGCTTTGGATTGGCGCAGCGCACCGGCCATAGCGGCCATTTGGGGGGTGAACCAACAGAAGGAAGACCTTTCTCTCTGTCTCTCTCTCACTGCCTAACTCTGCCTGTCAAATAAAAAAATAAATAAGTAAATACAAAAGAGAGAGAACAATAGAAAAAGATAACCTTGGAAGTTACATTAGAAATTACATTAGTAAAGTCTAATCTGCAGTTTCTATGAGAACTAAGTTAAATATTCTCATACTAATGTGAATTTATATTTTTTCTTGGAGTTCCATAAATTTTTCCTTTATTTATTTAATATAAGATGTGTAAGTCTTAGTTTTTGGTGGACTGCTATTTTAAATTTCGAACCATATTTTGTATATAACTTACCAAAAAAGAGAAATAAATAAAATAGGTAACAGGAAATAGAATACAAATAAATGTTTCAGATAATTCCAGAGATAAATTAAATAGAAAAAGTAAGATATTCTGAAAAAAATTAGTTGACAAAGTAATATATTCATATGTAATAAGAACTAAAGTGTAATTCTGCAAAAGAAGGGAACCTGCACTAACAAACATTAATGGATTGAGTTACCATTAGAATACAAAGCCTAGATTTATGGTTGCATTAAAAATTTTGGAAGAGATATCAGTATATCTAGCAATCATACAGAAATAATTTTAAGAGAAGGGCACTGAAATAACTAAGTAACCAATAGGAGTGGGTATTAGATCCAATATCTGGTCTCATGCAAAAAACTAATTTTAATTGAGTAAAATAAAAATAATGCTAGAAGAAAATGTAGATAAATACTCCTCTATTTTCAAGATTAGAAATATTTTCTCACATATACATCAGCAAAAAATATAAAATATTGATATAAATGAACAGTGTTTTAGATTTCTGTAATAAGAAATAATAATAATAAGTATGCAAATGAAAAGCAAATGACACAAAAATTCCATTAAGTTGGTTTGAAACTGCCACTTCTTAGTTTGGTGGAGTCTTAGAGGATCTATATAATCTCTTAAAGGATTATATAATCTTTCCCCTGCCTATGTCTTCACTGGCAAAGTGGATACTATAAAAGAATATATTTCATAGAATGCACTGGATTTTAATTATTAAATATCAATAAATACCATTTAGAATGATATCTAATTTATAGCTAAAACTCAGTAAATATTAACTTTTAATCAGTTTTATGTTCTTTTTGAGTCAATCTTATCACTGCAATCATGGTACCCTTTTTGGGGTAACTACTATGATCTAGCCATTGAACTTTATCTATTACAAACCTGCCATCCATCCTCATATTAACCCCTTTAAAAAGGTTAAACTGAATCTTGATGATGTTGAATAAATTCTGTGACATCTAGAAATTAGCATTGTTACAGGAATGGTTAAAAACCTAAATTTATCTTACATTACTGCTCATACTGTTTCTACTAAACCATGAATTAATTAATTACAATGAAAAAACTAGCTTAGTACACTGTGGAATCAGTACATGAAGGTGACAAAATATGCTCCCTAAAAAAAAATCCTTTGAGTCTTAGTAGTAGTATTTTAATGGATAAAGCAAACAGAACTGACAAGAATATATTATTATTTGCTTTCCTTTGCTGTTATATTTCTAACTCTAAATTAATCAAGTAATATTATTCTCTCTAGATAGATAGGTATAGTCATATGTTATACATTCATCAAAAAGTTCATAAATGTTGTGCTATTAGAAAACTATGTATGGTTTTCTTTTTTAGAAGTAGATTTAAAAAAAAAAGAGTTACAGAGAGAGAGGAAGAGACAGAAAGAGATCTTCCATCTGTAGATTCCCTCCCCAGATGGCCACAATGGCTAGGACTGGGCCAGGCCAAAGCTAGGAGCCAGGAGCTTCGATCAGTTCGCCCAAACATTTGGGCCATCTTCTGCTGCTTTTCCCAGGCCATTAGCAGGGAGTTGGATCAGAAGTGGAGCAGCTAGGACACAACCAGTGTCCACATGGGATCCCAGTGTTACAGGCAGTGGCTTTACCTGCAATGCTCGAAGACTAGCCCCATGAATTTCAAAATCTTTTCACCAAAATTAATTTTTCTTTTTATTTCATTTCCATGAACTTTTTGAAGTATCTTTGTACATTTCTTAGGTTTACTTTGTTAACTTGAGAGTCACTACGCTTTGTAGACACTGAGACTCACAAGATTGTTTTGAAGCCTGAAAGAATGAAATTTAGACCTCAGATAATACTTTTTGAAGTTTTCTGACAGCTAACCAGCTCATATTCCCTTAGAAGTATCCTGAATTCCCAGGATACTTTTTCTCTGAATTTCCACACAGTGCAAGTTGTGGGGAATCCCACAGGAGTCCCAAAAGAGTTACAGAGCACCACTAACCCAAAAAGAAAGAGAAAAAGCAAAACCAAAATGGAGTTACTTAAGCTAAGGCCACTAAGCACCAGGAACTGCCCAGACCATCTGTCAGAACAGACACAGGTGGTGAGGCCTGATAAGGACTGGGAGACATTACATCATAAGAAGAAGCCAACCAGCTGGCTACTGCATTACTTTACTGTCGCTCCCCCTCTTCATGGAGGAACGACACAAAACCCTGCCTAGGCTTCATATCCGAGTCACGGCACCATTATGTCGCTCCCCCTCTTCATGGAGGAACGACACAAAACCCTGCCTAGGCTTCATATCCGAGTCACGGCACCATTATGTCGCTCCCCCTCTTCATGGAGGAACGACACAAAACCCTGCCTAGGCTTCATATCTGAGTCACGGCACCATTATGTCGCTCCCCCTCTTCGTGGAGGAACGACACAGGACCCTGCGCTGTTCTCTCGTCTGCTCGGCCCTCCCTGGGTTTGCTGCTGGTTCTTCCCGGGTTGGCTACTATCCCTTCCACCTCCGTGGAAGGGCAGTTCCCCCTGGCCACATTCCCCACTTCCGCAGGGGAGCGGCACACCGCCGGCCGGCTTTCTCGGGGGCTGCACAGGTGTTCCCCTTAGATGTTCCCCTTAGATGTTTCCCGGTGCATGCCGTCTCTCTCCTCCTTTATAGTCCTCCTCCGCCAATCCCAACTCGGCTGCCCACACGCCGAGTACGCTACTCTCCAATCAGGAGCAAGTCCTACAATTTATTGGTTGAACTGGAGGCAGCTGTGCGGAAGCTGTTTAGTTCTCTCCCAGCGCCATATTGTGGGAGAGCAGATGCATAGAATAAGTCTTAATTCCAGTAACTCAGTCCAGTCCGGGCTGCTCCCCACACTTTACCTACACTACTGCACCACGATTGGCCACATCCAGAAGACCCCTAAAACACCATTGGTCACACCCAGACACCAACATCTGGTTGGTGACATCCCAAAAGATGAGCTTGTGATTGGTGACACATCAGGGCACATTCACTACCCACCCACCCCAGAAGGAGGATAAAAAGGCAAGCTTCACACCTGGCTCTTCATCCCCTCAGGGACCATGGCTCAGTGCACGTGGAACTCTGCCCAAGTCTTCACTGACTGAAGCTCTGCTCACCACTCTGCTAGAGCCAACCTCGCCTGAACATCCCAGCTGCTGCCCGAGCTGACATCGGAGCCGGACTGGACCTCTCATCAGTCACCTCTCCAACTGTTCACCTTGCTGTCCACTTTGGAACTTCGAGCCTACTGCCCAGAGTGCAGTCATCCCACCACTCCTGCCTGTAAGTGACTGTTCTGAGATCCATCTCTCCAAGTGGTAATAGAGATTTCGGACTCTGGACTTTGGACTTTGACTTTTCATGACTGTGATATGAACCTTGAGAATGCAGCATTCATATTACAACCTTAGCCATGAGTATTTAGACTGGTTATGCTTTTATGCTTTGTAGGTGTTATACTTATTACTACTGCTGGATATTTCTGGAAGTTGTCTTACTCCTAGATGTGTGTTTTGACCTATGGACTAATGACATATTAGGTGGTATTGACCTTTAGATGCGTGCATTGTATATATATTGAGTGGTATTGAATATTGAATAATAAATTATATTGAAAAGACTATCACAATTCTGTGTGATTCTTCCCTGTGCTCTGACACATTGCATTAGCCTTGTCAAGCTGCATGAGAAGTACACAAGTTAATCTCAGAATACAAACCACACACAAGTTAAGTAGGTTACAGTGCCAAGATTAGATCAAGATTGTAGAGTTCTCCCTAATAAAACCTTCAGCTAAATCCAAGACTTCTATGACCATGTAATTTTACTATCTAGGCCAATCCTAACTCCTCTATCCTTGAAAGACACAGGCACCTGAATCCAAGCCAGAAAGTCTGACACACAGTCTTTCCTAATACTCTCCTGCCTGGGTATTCAATAAAAGCAGTCAATCTTTATGCAGTCGCATAGCCTCAGGTTTAACACTGAGTGTCCTGTGTCCCTGATCTCTGATCTGCTGCTCTCACATAAGTTCCACAATTCACTGGTGCAGCATCACAGCACTAGTGGAGTGAGGTACATAAGGGAATCCACCTGGCATTAACAGACTAGCATAGCCAGAAATCTACTATGATTTCTACATTACTCCAGCATTATACAAAATGAGAACTGCTTTCCAACTGAAATATATATTAAAAGAGGAGGTTTTCCTCTGCCTTCCTCATGCATAATCACTTACGCAAAGAAAACTTCTTCCAAGGTAGTCATAGAGACACCAAAGGCAGCAATGCCCAACTCTTCCTGACGTTCTTCCAGCTCAGCAAAGAGTGCTTCAAATCTGAAAGTGAAGAGAGAAGAGGAGAGTTAGCAGCAAAACATATTATTTTCATATTTATATTACTTGTTCCCAATTATTTTTTTTCTCAGAAGTGGGAAAACTGTAAATCACTCTTCACTACAATGCTTGCTATAGTTTCCATGTCCCTGATAAATTACATATGTGAAACATGTAAAGAAAAAAGCCACAGCAAACTGCTTCCTGATTATCTGAGCAAATTATGAATAATTGACTTTTGGGGCCAGTGTTGCGGCATAGTAGTTCAAGTCTACACCTACATTGCCAGCTTCCCATACAGCTGCTGGATTGTGTCCCATCTGCTCCACTTCTGATCCAGCTCACTGATAATGGCCTGGGAAGCAGCACAAGACAGCCAAAGTGTTTGGGCCCTTGCTATCCACATGGGAGACCCACATAGAGCCCCTCTGACTCCTGGCTTTGGCCTGGCCCAGCTCTGGCTATTGTGGCTATCTGGGGAGGGAAACAGCAGATGGAGCATCTCTTATTCTCTGTCTCTCACTTTCTCTCTCTGTAACTGTGACTTTCAAAAGCATAAATAAATATTTTAAAAATTGACTTTTTTATACGTTAATATGCATTACTAATTAAGACAATTTAGTTAATATATACCATGGCTCCTATGAAACACTAAATCAAATAGGAAAAGGTAAGTAGGTAGGAAACACTCAAATTAGTAAGTAGAAGACATTCAAAGCAGAGAATGAAGTAAGAATATTAGAGGTTAGGGACTGGGAGAAAACTGTTAACTCACAAAAGCAGGTAAGTTTTGCCATTTAGGAAGAATAGTTTTTCTCAGATTTCTTTGTATTTTATATTTAGAAGATTATCTACTCCAGAAACCTATGCAGCTCTTGAATCAGTCACTACTATATTCTCTCTAAAGTGGTAAACATGAGCAGATAAAGAGTTCACTACTATATTCTAAGGTGTAAACGTGATAGATAAACAGGACAGAAAATTCTCAGTTTTGGAAAGCTCTATCAGATTTTTCTCTACTTGAGACCAAGTTGGATTCAAAACACTCTATTTCATTATTGGATGGAAAAGGAATTTTCAAAATATTGTTGTTTCTCAATAGTATAGTAAATGTATACAATAGACAATTGTACAATAGACATGTTTATCAGTTGATACACGGCAAGATCCTAAGCAGCACACCACAAACTCAACTCAACACTGATTATCCCTGTGGAAAAGGTTTATGAGATCCTTCTCTTTTAATTCATTTGCTACTGTAATGACAAACTTTTAGAAGTGAATTTGTTTATGCATATGTATATAGATTTACAGCAAACCCAAGGCTGGAGAAATCAGAATAAAAATTTATAATGAATAATTCAAGCATTATCATTGTAAATATTTTCTGATTTAAAACATAGATAATACAAATATTGAAATAAGAAGTAAAAATATGCCTACTACTCAAATATTTGTTTTAAATTTGATGTACATCTTTATTCCATTTGTGTATTTGTGTTTTCATATTTTTCACATCAAGAAAATGTTATAGAATTATATATCGAATTCTGAATTTAAAATTATGAGCGTTTTTCCAGAATTTCAGACTTTTCATATTCCTTCTTGTGAATATCCTATAACTTAATTAACTTTCCTCATCGTTTGCTATTTAGATTATTTACATTTTGATTTTATAGGTCCTATTTATTATAAGTCTAATGAATTGTACTGTATGTTTTCTTAGACTATATTTTCTTTTCAAGGGCAAGGGATTATTGGAGGAAACCCAACAGACAAGAGGGAAGGGGCAAAGAAGGAAAAGAGGGAGAAGAACATGAGAGAGATCGAGAGAGAGAGACAGAAAAAGAGAGATCAGGAGACAGAGAGAAAGAGAGCCACATGTTCAGGAATAGGTCCTCTTAAATCTTTGCCAGGGGTGGGTAGGGAAGTAGCAGCAGTGAATACCATTAGGATGGTGGTGGGGCTGACACTGGTGGTTGGCCATGGGGTCACCTGGCTTCCAGCCATGGCAACGGTTAGAGCCTAGGATGGTGTTGGGGTGTAGATCACATCATAGATAAGACTGCGCCATTTTACTAACATCCCCCCCCTTTTGTTTTTTATAAAGCAAGAGTTGTATAGGATTACATTAGTTCCAGAAGTCCAGGAAGGGTAGAGGGTCAATGATCTGCCTTTAGAGCTACTTCCTGTTGACATGGGGTGACAAGGTATTACCTGCTGGCATTGGACGAGGTTAGACTGTAATTTTGATCCCGAAATGATCAAAGTATGACTATATTCAGGAGTTGCTCACCACTAGTACTCAAATATAAAAAGGCAGTTTCAGGGCCAGCATTGTGGCACAGTGGGTTAAGCCACTTCCTGTAATGCCAGCATCCCATAAGAGTGCCGGACTGTTTCACTTCCAATCCAGCCCCCAGGTAATGTGCTGGGAAAGCAGAAGACAGTCCAAGTACGTGGGCCTCTGCCACTGATGTGGGAGACCTGGATGGAATTCCAGTCTCCTGGCCAGAGGGTAGCACATCACTGGCTGTTACAGCCATTTGGGGAGTGAACCAGTTGATGGAAGATCTCTCTTTCTTTATCTCTCCCTTTCTCCTTCTGTTCAAATAAATAAATAAATCTTTTTTAAAAAGACACTTCATAAAAACCAAGTGGTTACTATTATTTAATTTTTTTTCCTAATAAGCAAAATAATTTTGAATATTTAGCTTAACTTTGTTCTTTTAAATCCAGTAATTTTGAATAATTTTATATATAGGCAATTTGCATGTTTGTCTTATTAAAATAATTATTTTAATCCAAAATTAATGTTTAATGATAAAACACTTTAAAACTATAGATAAAAATATTTTAAAATAAAATGAACATTGTAAATAATTCCAAAAATATACTATTATATTTACTGTGTTGTAATAAATAAGGATGCCATGAACATTCATGTAAATAAATATCTGATTATAGTAAATATTTGCCAAATGTAGCAAATGAGTATCTGTGCCTGTTTTACTACTTTATTATATTCATAAAGATGGGTAGCAATTTAAAAATCAAAAATATGATGGGAAAGTGACATCAGCAAGACAGCAGAGTAGTAATACCTGGACCCTCTTGCCCTCTTGAAAACATTTATTCAATAATAACCCATGGATAAATTCTCTTTATGAAAAGTTTGGAAGCAAATTGAAAGGCTATTATACCCAGGAAAAATGAGAAACTAGACTCATCAAGGCTAATAGGGAAATTCGAGATACCTCCTCTTAAGAGACCCTGCCTCCAGAATTCCCTCAGATTTGAAGAAAATAAACATACTAGAGACTCAATGAGAGGCTGGTGCTGTGGCACAGTGGGTTAAAGCCCTGGTCTTTAGCACTGGCATCCCATATGGGCGCAGGTTCAAGTCCCAGCTACTCCATTTCCAATCCAGCTCTCTGCTATGGCCTGGAAAAGCAATAGAAGATGGCCCGCCTTGGACCCCTGCACCCATATGGGAGACCTGGAAGAAGCTCCTGGCTCCTGGCTTTGCATCTGCACAGCTCCAGCCATTGCAGTCATCTGGGGAGTACACCAGAGGATGGAAGACCTCTTTCTCTCTCTCTCTCTGGCTCTACCTCTCTCTGCAACTCTGTCTTTCAAATAAATAAAATAAATCTAAAAAAAAAAAGAAACAATGATTTTCAAGGAAGATGAACTCAGACATATTCATACCAAGATACATAATCGAATTTTTGAAAATCAAAGACAGGGACCGGTGCTGTGGTGGAGCAGGTAAAGCTGCCGCCTGCAGTGCCAGCAGCCCATATGGGTGCTGGTTCGGTTCGAGTCCTGGCTGCTCCACTTCTTTTTTTTGACAGGCAGAGTGGACAGTGAGAGAGAGAGAGACAGAGAGAAAGGTCTTCCTTTTTTTGCCATTGGTTCACTTTCCAGTGGCTGCCGCGGCCAGCGTGCTGCAACCGGCACATCGCACTGATCCGAAGCCAGGAGCTAGGTGCTTCCCCTGGTCTCCCATGCGGGTGCAGGGCCCAAGGACTTGGGCCATCCTCCACTGTACTCCTGAGCCATAACAGAGAGCTGGCCTGGAAGAGGGGCAACCGGGACAGAATCCGGTGCCCCGACCGGGACTAGAACTTGGTGTGCCGGCGCCGCAAGGTGGAGGATTAGCCTATTGAGCTGCGGCGCCAGCCTGCTCTACTTCTGATCCAGCTCTCTGCTATGGTCTGGAAAAGCAATAGAAGATGGCCCTATTCCTTGGGCCCCTGCACCCATTTGGAAGGCCTGGAAGAAGCTCCTGGCTTCAGATTGGCCCAGCTCCAGCAGTTGTGGCCAATTGGGGAGTGAACCATTGGATGGAAGACCTCTCTCTCTCTGCCTCTCCTTCTCTTTCTGTGTAACTCTGACTTTCAAATAAATAAATAAACATTTAAAAAAAAAAAAAGAAAACCAAAGACAAAGAGAGAATCTTGAAAGCATCAAGAGAGAATCAATTCATCACGCACAAGGGCTCCTCAATAAGATTATTGGATTTCTTATCAGAAACTTTGGAGGCCAGAAGGCAGTAGGTTGATATATTCCAAGTGCTAAAATTAAAAAAAAATATATCATCCAAGTAACCTACATCTGGAAAAACTGCCCTTCAAAACAGGGAGGGGGGGAATAAGACATTTCCAAATCAACAAAAGATAACAAATTCATAACACTAGACCTGACTTGCAAAAAAATGCTCAAGAAAGTCCTACAAGTTGAAATAGAAGGATATTGGAAAGTAACTTGAAAATGTATGAAAAACCAAAAAGGGAAACATAAAAAAACTAGTGCTATAAAAACTAGTATGCCACAATATTCTGTAACTGTACTTTTAAGTCATCTATATAATTTAACAGATTAATACATTTTTAAAATTAGTGTTCTAAAATTTAATATTTCTGTAACTTTGGTTTGGAACACCACCTACCAAGACTAAATTATAAAGAAATACAACATCAGAATAAATATACCTATTAAGGAGATTAAACCAGTAATGAAAAAATTTTCTAACAAAGAAAAGCTCTGAGCCTGGTGACACTGGTCAATCCTACCAAATAATTAAAGAAGAACAACTGCCTATCTTCTCAATTTTTCCCCAAAGATTAAAAGAGGAAGGAATTTTTCCAGCTCACTCAATGAAACCTGTATCACCCTTATACAAAAAAACAGGAAAAGAAAAGTACAGAACAATGTTCCTTAAGAACACTGATGCAAAAATGCTCAACAAAGTAACTTCAAACTGAATTCAACAGCATATTAAAGAGTACAACAGCTAAGTGGGACCTATTCTTGGAATGAAGCAATGGTTCAATTTACTAAAATATATCATTGTAATATAAAATATATGTAATGCATAATATAGCAATGTAATATCTAGTATTTCTAGAATGAAAGAAAAAATTATCATTTCAATTGATGCAGAAAAAACTGACAATTTTCAACTTTTTTTGATAAATATACTCAACAAACTAGGAATAGAAGGAAAGTGTATCAATAAAATAAACGTGATATATAAAAAGCCCACAGAAAACACTATGTTCAATGGTGAAAGACAAAAGCTTTTCTTTTAAAATCAGTAATAAAACAAGGATGTCAACTTTTTCACTTGCATTCAACATAGTACTGGAAGTTCTGGAAAGAACAATTAAGCAAGCAAAAGAAATAAAGGAATCCAAATTGGGGAAGAAGTAAATTATGCCTGTTTGCAGATAATATGATCTTATGTGTCAAAAACTAAAACAAAGTCATTACAAGAAGAGAAAACCACAATGTAAACATACATCAAAACATTACACTGTATATTTATAAATTCACCAATTATTTTTCAACTAAAAATAACTGAAAGAAAAAAATAATAAGTTAAAAAATTCACTGGATGCTACTTTCCAAGAAGGAATTTTATACCAATAAAGCATCATATGAGAGGTCTTTAAAAAGTTCATATAAAATGCCCACTATGAAACCTGCATGGGTTTCAAATGTTTTCCCTATTGGCTGCCATCTGTACAATTAATGCAATCTAAAGGAAGTAAATTTTCTGACTACTTGTCAATGGACAATTAGAATAAGTTAACTGTCAAGCCCGAGGAAATCTGGAAGCATAATTTATGATTACCTAACACCATTCATCTAGCATTTTCTATATCCATACCTGTGTGTATATTCTTTCGGTAGTAGAAATGATAATTCAGCTGCAACATCATTCTCCAAACTGGCAGTTGGTACATAATAAATAATCAAGTTGGAGACTCTCTTAACATCACAATCAAGTTTTTTCACTATGACTAAGTGGTATCCCACACCTGAAAAGATCCATTTAGAAGACCAAATTAAGCAGTTTTGAATTTCTTATACTCTTTGGAAACCATTCTTGGTCCCATGGTTCAAGTTCCCCAGGTGTACAGGGAAGAAAGTGTGGTGTGTCACAGTTATCTGCCTAAAATCCAAGGAGGTGCATTCAAAGAGCTTCCAAATACTGCTCTAAGAATGCAGGGATGGTTTTTTAGAGGGTGGTGATCAAGTCTGAAGAGGCCATCAAAAGTGGAGCTGTCCCTCTCTCATGTTGTAACCAATGAAGGTCATTCAGACAGGGGAAAAAAGGTGGGGGGAGGCATGCATGGATAATAATACATGTTATGTAAGCAAATTTAGAAAAGCCCTCTGTTATTTAATCTCCCTTCCTATGAAACTGCAATCTGGGAGCTAGGAGGACAGTAATAAGCATTAATTAGTTCGTTCAACTTATATTTATTGCATATCTACTATAAGCCAGGCACTATTTTAGATACAGAATATATAAGAATGCCTAAGGACATAGCAGTTAGCCAAAAAGCTAAAAATCATAATGACTGGGGACAGCATTGTGGCATAGCAGGTAAAGCTGCTGCCGGCAATACCAGCATACCATATGGGCGCTGGTTCATGTCCCAGGTGCTCCATGTCTGATCCAGTTCCCTGCAGTGGAAGATGGCACAGGTGTTTGGGTTCCTGCTACCCACATGGGAGACCTAGAGGAAGTTCCTGGCTCCTGGCTCCTGGCTCCTGGCTCCTGGCTCCTGGCTTTGGCCTGGCCCAGCCCTGATCACTGTAGCCATCTGGGAAGTAAATCAGCAGATGGAAGATTTCTCTGTCTCATCCTCTCTATCTGCAACTCTTTCAAATAAATAAATAGTTATTTTTGAAAAAAAAACAATAATTTATATTTCCGTGAGAAAAACCAGGTAACAGAAAATAATTAATAAAATGTATAGTGCACTACATAGTGTCAGTGTCTACGAGAAAAAAGGTAACAGTCTAGGGAAGGGCATTATGAAACAATGGTGTTGAAGTGCTGAAACTCTGGATATGAGCCAGGAAAGGACTCACTGGAAAGGTGCTACTAAAAAAGGTCTCTTGGAAGTGAGGCAGCTAATAGAATTTATTCTACATTTTGAAAATATAGAAAAAATTCTCAGATTGAAAAAAAAGTCCATTATAAAGTTCAAAATATAGCTCTCATAGTTCTGTCCTTGATTATGAAAACAAAAAGGTAAGTCTTAGAAAGAATTAAAAGTTGCCTCAATACTTGTTCTAGGGGACCGGTGCTGTGGCATAGCTGGTAAAGCTGCCACCTGCAGTGCTGGCATCCCATATGGACGCCAGTTCAAGTCCCAGCTACTCCACTTCTGATCTGGCTTTCTGCTATGGCCTAGGAAAGCAGTAGAGGATGGCCCAAATCCTTGGGCCACTGCATCCACATGGGAGACCTGGAAGAAGCTCCTGAATCCTGGCTTTGGATCGGCCCAACTCCAGCCATTGCAGCCATCTAGGGAGTGAACCACCAGATGGAAGACCTCTCTCTATCCGCCTATGCCTCTCTGTAACTCTGCCTTTCAAATAAATAAGTAAATCTTTTAAAAATACTTGCTCTGGCTCAGTCACCTGCTTTTAGCAAGGAAGATATCATTATTTCATTTTGCAAAAAAAGAGAAGTGAGACCCAAAGTGTTGAATAACTTGTCCATCATTTAAAAGCTATTGAAACCAAGGCTGTCCTTGGTGTTCCCACACAATGTGCAAAGTAAAATTTTTCTGATGCTCTTCTATTTAATTATGGCACAGGAAGTCATTCAATTTTCCTGTACCCTCATTTTTAAATTTTTTTAAAAAAATTCTTCTTTGTGCAGAATTGTAGGCTGTTAACTGAGATTTGAATTATGCTCACCACACTGTTAAATTTACATGTCATCAGAGAACAAGATGCAATAAGCTGCTGATGCCTAAATAATGACTAAAGAAAGGAAGAGTTAAAGGTTAAAATAACCAGGAAGATCCTAGTTAACAGGGCTAAAGTTTAGTATGTGTGAGAAGAGACCTAATATATAAAACTGTATTACTTTTTCATTAATACATATTCAGGTTAATGAATACAATTAACATATAAAGTGCTAGAAAATACTGAATGGTGAAGTCATTATCTCACTTGATCTTAGCCAAAAGGCTGAGAAGCAATTGAAGTCATTATCTCTAGTCCTAGCTTACCATCCATGTTTGGGTTTCATATATATAAATTCATCCATGTTGCTGGCCACTAATGTTCCCAGTTAAAAATTTTAATTAAAAATGTTTTAATGCAATCTATTCTGATTAAATACATAATATATCCCTCTAAGAAAAACAACAGTCTCTTGCCTGATAAAATTTCTATTTTTAAGAGCCATCATGGGCCGGCACCGCGGCTCACTAGGCTAATCCTCTGCCTTGCGGCGCCAGCACACCGGGTTCTAGTCCCGGTCAGGGCGCCGGATTCTGTCCCGGTTGCCCCTCTTCCAGGCCAGCTCTCTGCTGTGGCCAGGGAGTGCAGTGGAGGATGGCCCAAGTGCTTGGGCCCTGCACCCCATGGGAGACCAGGATAAGTACCTGGCTCCTGCCATCGGATCAGCGTGGTGCGCCGGCCGCAGCGCGCCAGCTGTGGCGGCCATTGGAGGGTGAACCAACGGCAAAGGAAGACCTTTCTCTCTGTCTCTCTCTCTCTCTCTCTCTCTCTCTCACTGTCCACTCTGCCTGTCAAAAAAAAAAAAAGAGCCATCATGAATATGTTTAATAGCAAATGAGCTTCAAATTATCTTCAGTTTCAGTTTCTAACTCTGTTAAAGCTTTGCAGTAAGCTGGTTTCATAATCTACCAGAACTTAAAATTGTTGAATACTTTTGTTTTATATCTTGTTTGGATTTCCTTCATTTCATCTCTCTAAGTATAATCAAGTGCTGCATAACAACTTCAGTCAATTATGGACTGCATATATAATGGTGGTCTCATCATTTTATAATGGAACTGAAAAACTCCTTTCATCCACTGATGTCACAGTGTAATTCATTGCTCACATGCTTGTGGTGATGCTGGTATAAATAAACTTACTACACTCACTGCCAGTCATAGAAAAGTATACCACATACAGTTATTTATAGAACATAATACCTGATAATAATAACAAACAACGACGTTTGTTGGCTTATATATTAACTATATTACACTTTTTATCATCATTCTAGAGTACACGAATTACAAAGAGCCATGCATTCAATTTAAATACTGGACCTAATGCAATAGGACACAGAGATCCACTGAATGTATATAGAAAAAAATTATGAGAATTATATTAGAAGAATAATATTAAGGCACCATATCTTTTTTTCAGGAAAATGGAGGAGCCACAACACTGCAGGGTCCCTTTGACCATGATGGCAATGCGGTCACCCAGGACATCAGCTTCATCCATGTGATGAGTGGTCAGTAAGATGGTTCGATCCTCTTTAAACTGCTGAAGGACATTCCAGGTGCTTCTCCTTGAGACTGGATCCATGCCAGATGTTGGCTCATCAAGTATCACTACCTAAAGACCATGAACAGCTTTCAGATATACTTAACTCACACTATGCTACTTATGGGATAATTTTTTTCATGGGGCATATTGAATATAAAATACAAATTGTAGACTATATTAGCATTAAGAACATGGTAAAACCCATGGCACTGTGGCACAGCAGGTGAAAGCCCCAGCCTGCAGCACCAGTATTCCATATGGGTGGTGGTTCAAGTTTAGGCTGTTCCATTTACAATCCAGCTCTCTGCTTTCGCCTGGGAAAGCAGTAGAAGATGGCCCAAGTCCTTGGGCCGCTGCACCCACGTGGGACACCCTGAAGAAGCTCCTGGCTCCTGGCTTTGGATCAGCTCAGCTAAAGCAGTTGTGGCCATTTGTGGAGTGAATTAGCAGATGGAAGATCTTTCTTTCTCTCTCTCTCTCTCTCTCTCTCTCTCTCTCTCTCCCTCCCTCTCTCTTACTCTCTCTATATCTCTGCTTTTCAAGTAGATAAATAAATCTTAAAAAAAAAACACATGGCCACATTATATCAGCTAGGAAAGGTCAGGAACAGGAAATCCCTCTGATTTTCATTTGGGAATTTTCTTGTCTACAAATTCATGTCAGCACTCGTGTTGGTATCCACTGTACTTGATACATCAGCTGGAACAGGAACTCATTCTAATTTGTTATTTACCTTGGAGCCCCCTATAAGTGCAATAATAATAGAGAGTTTGCGTTTCATTCCTCCACTGAGAGACTTTGAAAATTCATCACGTTTGTGTAGCAGGCCAAAAGAAGTCAGCATTTTGTTAATTTCTACAGAACGCCTCTGTGGAGGTACTCCTTTTATCTAAAAAGAGAAGCCAGTGTTTACATGATACTTCCAACTTTACCCTTAAAAAATTCTCATAAGATAACATTTCCTAGATTTCAAGATAGCTGAATAAGGAAAAGATGTGATGATTCTGACTAAGGGAAAATAGCATAAGAAAAGCAGAGGAAGTGTACTCCCAGGGGAAAGTTGTAGAGAAGTTTGCAGTGGAAACTCTACCGAAATAAAAGGAATACCATGGAGTACTGTGGAAACTGTGGACATGCAAGCAGTGAATGGGCACACCACACACAACTCCTGCAGCTAGGAGCTGAGAGAACACCAGGTTCTAGAGCAAGGTGAGGGCAGACTGCGGCAGCCCATGCCACTGGGGATGTTGCATGAGGGAGAACTTTGCAGACCACACTAAATTTGTGTTGGGCCTGGAGCCCTACCATGGGGCAGGGTACCCTTTAATCCAGTGAGGAAAAAGCACATTTCTTTCTCCCCAACCTCCTACAAGGGTACCCGGCAACCAGCAGGGAGAAGGTGCCATCTTGACCCAAGAAGAGTCTGTGGTAGCTCTCACATGTGCAACCAGGAGATTTAACCACAAAGAAAAAAACACATTTCCCATTGACTTTGAGTCTGGCTGGGAGGGTTGACAGAGGGCTGGGTACCCACTTAAGATCATGAAGTTCCCCCATCCTCTCAACCTATCAGATTCCAGGGCTCAAACTGCCAAGGCAGAGCACCCATAGGCAGCTGCAAATGACTATCCTCTCTCTTAGGATGGGACAGGCTTGTGAGACAGAGGGATCCTCTTCAAAGCCTGACTGTGGGAACCTTGTATACTGTGACTGTTGGAATCCTGTAACTGTATGATGGGGTGTGGGGTGTAGCTTGGTCATGGGCAATCATGTGTCTGGCATCAGAGGCTCACAGCTCCCTGATTGCCTGGAATGGATCATTGCAGTGGAATCTATCCTCATACTGCGGACTGCAAAGATCCTTTCTGTGGTTCATGCGACAGCATGGATTAGGGTTATACCTACTGTATGCTAACCTCAGGCATTGTTCACCTTGGAAGAGAGGTGAGGGTGTGATTACACCAAAACTCCTGATCACACTCTTCCCCCCTGCTGACAACAGAAGAAGTTACCATGACTAACTTGGGAGTCACCCCGGATTCTCACCCTACCCTTGAACACTGAGCAGAGTTCCTTAGCTCCATCCAACATACACTTCTGGGTATTCACTGAAGGAGCAGACACTCCACTAAGCCACAAAGGCAATGTTCAAAGATACAAGCCATCAGTGGAGAAAATCAATAAGTGTTTACACAAATACCTAAAAATAAACACAGAAATACAAGAAACAAGAACAAAGAAGTCAACATCTCTCCCAAGGAACAAAATAACTCTTCAATATTAGAAAGTGAAGACAAAGAGATCAATGAAATGCCCGAAAAGGAATGCAACAGAATGATCATAGAATTACCCAGAAGCAATAAGAAGCAACTCCATGAATTAAGAAAATCTGTACAAGACATGGGTGAAAAATTCTCCCATGAGTTAGAGATTTTGAAGAGAAAACTAAAACATTAGAAGTGAATAATTTAATATGTCAAATAACAAATACAGTGGAAAGCCTTAACAACAGATTTGGTGAAACAGAAGAAAGAATATGTGAGCTAGAAGAAAAATCTTTGGAAACATCTTGGTATGACCAAAAAAAATTAGAAAAACTAGAAATAGTGCTATAGTGTTAGATTTATGGGATACTATCAAACAACCAAACATACGGGTCTCAGGAGAACCTGAAGGTGTGAAAGAGAGAATGGACTGAATGAATGAAGAATTAATAGAAGGCCCATTTAGTGAAATAAATATAGAAAACTTCCCTAATTTGATGGAAGGTACACCCAAATACAGGAAGCAAACAGAACTCCTAGTAGACATGACCAGAAAAGATCTTCACCATGACACATTGTAGTCAAACTTTCAACACTAAACTAGGATCTTTTTTGCCTTTATTTGTTAAACTTCTTATTCAGTGAAGTAGTAGGCCTTTTTACTGAAAAGTAGATTTAAAATACGCCATCTCAAAGACTAAAAAATAAAAGAGACAGAAAGAAAGGCAGAAGATAGGAGGGTGGGAGAAATGGAAGGAAGAAGGTAATATCATTATGCTCTTAGACTTGTATGTATAAATTCATATTGAATGTTAAAAATTAATTAAAATCAAAATTTTTAAAATACCCCTCAAGAAAGAACTTTTCTTATATGGCTAACTAGATGTAAGCTGTTTCTTTTCTCCTTTATTGAAGATTAAAGAATAATGCTTCAGAAATATTTTAATAAAAGTAAGAATACTAATCCTTGGTCACACTGCCTGAAATATGTGAAAAGAGTGAGGGACACATGGGAGACCCAGAGGAAGCTCCTGGCTCCTGACTTCAGATCGGCACAGCTCCAGCGATTGTGGCCAACTGGGAGTGAACCAGCGGATGAAAGACCTCTTTCTTTCTCTGTCCTTCTCTCTCTGTTAACTCTGATTTTCAAATAAATAAATAATAAAATTTTTAAAAAAGAATGGGTGAAAGGAAAAGAAAATATATATATATATCTGGCTCACCACACAGTAGAAAAGAAGATGTTCTGACACTGTCATATTTGGAAACAATAGGTCATACTGGGGACACAAGCCCAAGTTTTTCCTGACTTGAACCATGTCTTTTGAGATGTCATATCCACTAATATAGATTTTTCCTCTGGTAGGAAGATAGAAACCTAGAATTAAGCAGAAGATATTTACCTTCAGTGAGGAAATTCAACAACATACTGTTCATTAGTACTTTAAGTTCATAGTGGCCTTGAAAAAGGATTACTCCCCAAAATTACTAATATCTCCTTTAGAAAAAGTCTGGCAAAAAGGTTAACAAAGAGAACTGGTGACTATGGTGATATCAGGCAAAGATATTTTATAAAGATAATACATATTGATAAAAAATTCAATCCATCAAGAAGCTATGGCAACGGTAATTAGATAAACATATGTAGATAAAGACACAGATATAGGTAAACATATCTAATAATAGGCATCAGATATATGAGACAAAACATAAAGGACGTGAGAAAGAAATATTCAGTCCTACAATAATAGTTGTCCATTTCAACATTACACTTTCAACAATTATGGAAAATTAAAGATTGTAATAAATAATTTTAGGTGTAATAATTAAATTTACTGGACTAAGAAACACCTAGAATCTTGGAAAAGCATTATTTGGGATGTGCTTGTGAGGGTGTTTCATGTGAATCTGAGTATACTAGGTGATAAAGACTCACACTCAATGTGGGTATGCATCATCCTATAGGGCCTAAGGTGAACACAGAAGATGAATTGTTCTCTTCTGTGAGTGCTTTTGCTCTCTGGGACATCAGAATTTCAGGCTAACTGGAATTTAGACTCTGGACTTGTACCAGTAACCCTTTGGGTCACGAAGCTTTCAGTCTGAGAGTGAGTTGTTACATTAGCTTTCCAGAATCTGAGGACTTTGGATTTGGAATGAGCCATGCTACTGGCACTCCAGTTCTCTACCTTGAAGATGGCCAGCCATAGGATTTCTCAGTTGCCATAATCATGTGATTAGGTATAACAGATCCACTCTTACATATGTCATACCCTGTTGTCTCTGTCTCCCTGGAGAACCATGCATTAGGAATAGAGAACCTGAACAATACTTTAGTCCAACTATACCAAAAGATATATAGAACATGTTATAGGGCCAGTGCTGTGACACAGCAGATTAAAGCCATGGCCTATAGTGCCGGAATCCCATATGGGCACCAGTTCAAGTCCCAACTGCCTCACTTCTGATCCAGCTCCCTGATAATGCTCCTGAGAAAGCAAGGAAGATGGCTCAAATACCTGGGCCTCTGCACCATGCAGGAGACCTGGAAGAAGCTCCTAGCTCCTGGCTTCAGCCTGGCACAGCACTGACCATTGTGGTCATTTGTGGAGTGAACCAGCAGATGGGAGACCTCTCTCCATGTCTCTCCTTGCTACCTTTTAAATAAATAAATATTTAAAAAAAAAAAGTCATCCACAGCAGGATGGAATTAACAAATGAATATGAAGCATTCTTCAGGACAGAACTTATGTTAGGCCACAAAATGAGTTTCAATAATTTTAAAATAATTGAGATCATACAAAGTATCTCCTGCAATTACAATGGAATGAACCTAGAAATCAATAATAGAAGAAAATGAGAAATAGAATGGCAGATGTCCTAAACAGCATTCTGGCCTCAGAATCAGCCCTAAAGGCATTCGGATCTGGCTGAAAAGCCCATGAGAGTATTTCAGGCATGGAAAGCCAAGACACTCTGGCAAAACAACAACAACAACAACAACAAAAACACAACAACAACAACAACAAACCTAAATGAAAGACCTCTGTGAGTGAGATCCCAGTGGAAAGAACAGGTCTTCAAAGGAGGTACCTTTCTCTGAAGGGAGGAGAGAACCTCCACTTTGACTATGACCTTGTCTAAACAAGATAAGTCAGAGAACTCAAAAGGCTTCCATAGCCTTGGAAACTCATGACTGGAGTATAAGGAGATTACTGATGCCATAAACAGGAGTGTCAATTGGTAAAGTCAACAACAGGAGTCACTGTGCACTTACTCCTCATGTAGGATCTCTGTCCTTAATGTGCTGTACATTGAGATTTAATGCTATAACGAGTACTCAAACAGTATATTTCACTTTGTGTTTCTATGGGGGTGCAAACTGTTGAAATTTTTACTTAATGTATACTAAACTGATCTTCTGTTAAAAAAAAGAAATTATCAATCCCCAACTTGACTCTCACTGGGATTAAACATGACAATAGGTCTGATCTGATTTCATCATCATTTAAAAAATCATCTATTATTTTTTACTTTATGTTTCTGTGTGGAAGCAAACTGTTGAAATCTTTACTTAATGTATGCTAAACTGATCTTCTGTATATAAAGAGAATCGAAAATGAATCTTGATGTGAATGGAAGGGGAGAGGGAGTGGGAAAGGGGAGGGTGGGAGGGACGTTATGGGGGGGAAGCCATTGTAATCCATAAGCCGTACTTTGGAAATTTATATTCATTAAATAAAAAAAAGAAGAAAATGAGAAAAACACAAATATGTAGAAATTTAAAAACAAAGAATAAATTAAAAGCAAATCAGGAAATACTTTAATAAAATGACAATGTAAACAAAATATTACATAATTCATTGGATTCAGGTAAAGAATTGCTCAGAGAGAATTTATATAATGAAACACCTGCACTAAGATCAAATACCCCATCTTTATAGTAAGGAACTAGAAAATGAACAGTCAACCAAATTCAAAGCTAGTAGAGGAAGGAAGCAATAAAGATTTAAACAGAGATAAAATACATGTTCTCCCTTATATGCAAGAGATAAATTTTTAAAAAAAAATCTCAATCTGAATACAGAATGTTGATTACTAGAGACTGAAAGGGATGGGAATGATAAAAGATTTCTGGATTTAAAAAAGTTGGGAATCTAGATTATTAGCTTCAAGAGTGGAGAAAATCAACACAATGGACAAACTTTAGCTATACTAATGAGGAAAAAAATGAGAGAACTCAAAATACTAAAATCAGAAGAAAACGGGACATCAGCAGAGATCTTACAGAAGTAAAAAAAAAGTTAGAAAATATTTTAGAGGCTTATAACAAGTAAAAATATTGCACTAGTAATCAAAATATTTCCAAAATAGAAAATCCTTGAGCCAAATGGCTTCACTAGTGAATTCTCTCAAAAATTAAAAAAAATCATTTTAATGCAAATCATTCTTAAACTTCCAAAAAGAAAGTGGCAATTTTCTGGGATTACGAAATTCTCTATCTTAGTGGATGACTGGATAACACACACACACACACACACACACACACATACACACATATATATGCATAATCAAAGATTAGAAATTTAAGCATTTAATTATAACAAAATTTTATGTCCAAAGGAAAGTTCTAATGAATATATGATATGCGTAGCAAACTATTTAAGATAAAGTATATTTATATCTAAAATTAACTGAAATGTCTAAAAATTGAGTTGACAGATATATTACAAGTATAGTAAAATATTAAAATGGTAGAACCAAATTTGTGGTTATATGGATATTCACTGAAAATCCCTTCAATTTAGATATATGTTTGAAATTTTCTTAATAAATAAAAATATGTATTCATTTAAGAATTATATATTATACAATGAAACAGTGCACATCAAACAAATGATAATCATTTGCTATGAATGAGAGGAGAATGGGGGAATGAGAAAAGAAAAAATGAATAAATAATGGAATGAATAAATTAAAATTAAAAGGAAGAGAGAGCCTTTACACTGATTAATAAGGATGGCATGCTAAGAAGTGAGAAGTTTGATGGAACCAAGATATACAAATAGACTCAATTTTTAAGTCTTATAGATTTTACTTTAGGAAATGAGATTAATCAACAAATATATATATCACTTAAATGGCAATGATGTCAATATCAAGAGTATACACATTCCCAAATTTGTACCTGTGAGAATGGATAATGTAGTAGTCTTTCCTGCTCCATTAGGTCCTAGAAGAACAGTGATCTGGCCCTCATAAAAATTCAAAGTCAAGTCTTTTATTGCTACAAAGGTAGTCTTATGTAATTTGAATTCCTGTGGAAAAGAATTTAAAAAATAATAACCTTTTAACTAATACTATTGCTTGTAACTTATCATGTATCCAGAGAAAGGGGGGAAACAGATCATTAGTTTCAAGAGTGGAGAAAATCAAAGCATAAAGGTGATAAATTTTTAAGCAATACTTTGAAGCAATATTTAGGTAGACCCTCAAAGTTGGTCTACAAATACCCCCTGAACAATCTTATCTGGTCTCCTTTTGTTCCAATTACTGTGTTGACGCTAATAATGCCATAATTTACTCCAGTCAATGTCTCTCTCCAACATTGCAGAATTGTCTTCTGGAAATCCATTATACTTGGTTGTCCAATAAGCACTCTAGATCTGAAAATGTGTACCTCCTACTATGTTCTTATCTCCATGAGTGGCACCAATATCTACCTAGATGTATAAATTAGAACTAGAAGCATACTTACCTTAGACATTTCTCTCTCTCCTCTCCCCATTCTCTCTCTCTCTCATACTAGAAGTCATCAGTCACTGATCACTACCAATCAATTCATTCATTATTTAACAAATGTGTTGAATACCTACTATGTACTACATATTGTGTAAGGTAACATGAATACATTTATAAACAAGACAGACAAGACTCCTTCTCTCATGACAGAAAAATTCTAGAAGGAAAAATTGACGAAAATCAACAAGACTAATGATAGAGACCTACTAGAAATCTGAGAATTTCAGAAAACACCATGTAGGATAAACATTTAAAATAAATTCAGACTTGAACGTGTCAATGGATTCATAGCTATGACACCAAAAGCACAATCAATGAAAGTAAATACAGATGAACAGGACTTCATCAAAATGGTCATGTAGAGAGAAAACTCAACCTACAGAATGTGAGGAAATATCTGCAAATCATGTATTTGATAATGATCAAGTGTCAAGAACATATAACGAATATTACAACTCTCCCCTCTCCAGCTTTTGATTAACAGGTGCTAAAATTATAGTTAGATAGAAGTTATGGGGTTCTATTGCACAATAGGGTGACTAAAGATAATATTAATGTCCTGTATGTTTCTCTATAAAAACAATAAACCAAAAGATAGGATTTTGGATGTTTTTATAATAAAGAAATTTAAATGTTTGAGGAGAAAAGATATATTTCCCTTATTAGAGAGCATACAACGTAATGAAGCATCACATGCTACCCTATTAATACATATAATTCTTACATGTCCTAATTTCTTAAACAAAAAATAAATTTTAAAGCACATAAATGAAATATCACAATTCAACAACCAAAGCAAAAACAATCCAATGAAAAATTGGCATTTTAAATATGCACGTAGGAGACCCGGGGAAAGCTCCTGGCTCCTGCCTTCGGATCGGCACAGCTCTGGCCATTGCAGCCATTTGGAGAGTGAACCATCGGATGGAAGACCTCTATCTCTTTCTCTGTCTCTCCTTCTTTCTCTGAATAACTCTGACTTTCAAATAAATAAATTAATTAAAAAAAACATGAATTAACCTTGAGAACATTAACTAAGTGAAAAGAGCTAACTACAAAAAGCCATATATTATCCCATTTATATAAAATGTCCAGAGCAGAGAAATTTATAGAGACTGGAAGCAGACTAATAGTTTCTGAGGGCAGGAGTAAGGGAGAAATGGTCAGTGACTGCTTAAATGGGCTTGGTGTTTCCTGTTCAAATTATTATTTTTTTTACCTTTTATTTAATGAATATAAATTTCCAAAGTACAGCTTATGGATTACAATGGCTTCCCCCCCCCTATACCGTCCCTCCAACCCACAACCCTCCCCTTTCCCACTCCCTCTCCCCTTCCATTCACATCAAGATTCATTTTCGATTATCTTAATATACAGAAGATCAGCTTAGTATACATTAAGTAAGAATTTCAACAGTTTGCTCCCACACAGAAACATAAAGTGAAAAATAATAGATGATTTTTTTAAATGATGATGAAATCAGATCAGACCTATTGTCATGTTTAATCCCAGTGAGAGTCAAGGTGGGAATTGATAATTTCTTTTTTTTTTTTAACAGAAGATCAGTTTAGTATGCATTAAGTAAAAATTTCAACAGTTTGCACCCCCATAGAAACACAAAGTGAAATATACTGTTTGAGTACTTGTTATAGCATTAAATCTCAATGCACAGCACATTAAGGACAGAGATCCTACATGAGGAGTAAGTGCACAGTGACTCCTGTTGTTGACTTTACCAATTGACACTCCTGTCTATGGCATCAGTAATCTCCCTATGCTCCAGTCATGAGTTTCCAAGGCTATGGAAGCCCCTTGAGTTCTCCAACTCTTATCTTGTTTAGACAAGGTCATAGTCAAAGTGGAGGTTCTCTCCTCCCTTCAGAGAAAGGTACCTCCTTCTTTGAAGACCTGTTCTTTCCACTGGGATCTCACTCACAGAGGTCTTTTGCCAGAGTGTCTTGGCTTTCCATGCCTGAAATACTCTCATGGGCTTTTCAGCCAGATCCGAATGCCTTTAGGGCTGATTCTGAGGACAGAGTGCTATTTAGGACATCTGCCATTCTATGAGTCTGCTGAGTATCTCACTTCCCATGTTGGATCACTCTCCCCTTTATTTATTCTATCGGTTAGTGTTAGCAGGTACTAGACTTGTTTATGTGCTCCCTTTGGCTCTTAGTCCTTTCATTATGATCAATTGTGAACTGAAATTGATCACCTGGAATAGTGAGATGGCATTGGTACATGCCACCTTGATGGGATTGAATTGGAATCCCCTGGTATGTTTCTAACTCTACCATTTGGGGCAAGTCAGCTTGAGCATGTCCCAAATTATACATCTCTTCCCTCTCTTATTCCCACTCTTATGTTTAACAGGGATCACATTTCAGTTAATTTTCAACACTTAAGAATAACTGTGTATTAATTACAGAATTAAACCAGTCATATTAAGTAGAACAGACAAAAAAACTACTAAGAGGGATAATGTATTAAGCTGTTCATTAACAGTCAGGGCTGTTTCCCATAGTGTCCATTTCACTTCAACAGGTTTCCTTTTGGGTGTTCAGTCAGTTGTCACCGATCAGGGAGAACATATGGTATTTGTCCCTTTGGGACTGGCTTATTTCACTCAGCATGATGTGTTCCAGATGCCTCCATTTTGTTGCAAATGACTGGATTTCGTTGTTTCTTACTGCAGTATAGTATTCTAAAGAGTACATATCCCATAATTTCTTTATCCAGTCTACTGTTGATGGGCATTTAGGTTGGTTCCAGGTCTTAGCTATTGTGGATTGAGCTGCAATAAACATTAGGGTGCAGACCGCTTTTTTGTTTGCCAATTTAAATTCCTTTGGGTAAATCCCAAGGAGTGGGATGGCTAGGTCGAACGGTAGGGTTATCTTCAGGTTTCTGAGGAATCTCCAGACTGACTTCCATAGTGGCTTGACCAGTTTGCATTCCCACCAACAGTGGGTTAGTGTCCCTTTTTCCCCACATCCTCGCCAGCATCTGTTGTTGGTAGATTTCTGCATGTGAGCCATTCTAACTGGGGTGAGGTGAAACCTCATTGTGGTTTTGATTTGCATTTCCCTGATTGCTAATGACCTTGAACATTTTTTCATGTGCCTGTTGGCCATTTGGATTTCCTCTTTTGAAAAATGTCTATTGAGGTCCTTGGCCTGTGGGGAGCAAACCGGACTAGACTGTTACTGGAATTAAGACTTATCCTATGCATCTGCTCTCCCACAATATGGCGCTGGGAGAGAAGTAAACAGCTTCCGCACAGCTGCCTCCAGTTCAACCAATTAACTGTAGGACTTGCTCCTGATTGGAGAGCAGCGTACTCGGTGTGTGGGCAGCCGAGTTGGGATTGGCAGAGAAGGACTATAAAGGAGGAGAGAGACGGCATGCACCAGGAACATCTATGGGGAACATCTAAGGGAACCCGTGCAGCCCCCAGAGAGCCGGCCGGCGGTGTGCCGCTCCCCTGCGGAAGTGGGGAATGTGGCCAGGGGGAACTGCCCTTCCACGGAGGTGGAAGGGATAGTAGCCAACCCGGGAAGAACCAGCAGCAAACCCGGGGAGGGCCGAGCAGACGAAAGAACAGCGCAGGGTCCTGTGTTGCTCCTCCACGAAGAGGGGGAGCGACATTGGCCCATCTCTTAATTGGGTTGTTGGTTTTGTTTTTGTGGAGTTTCTTGATTTCTTTGTAGATTCTGGTTATTAACCCTTTATCTGTTGCATAGTTTGCAAATATTTTTTCCCATTCTGTCGGTTGTCTCTTCACTCTCCTGACTGTTTCTTTTGCAGTACAGAAACTTCTCAATTTGATGCAATCCCAATAGTTGATTTTGGCTTTGACTGCCTGTGCCTCCCAGGTCTTTTCCAGAAATTCTTTGCCTGTGCCAATATCTTGAAGGGTTTCTCCAATGTTCTCTAGTAACTTGATGGTGTCAGGTCGTAGATTTAGGTCTTTAATCCATGTTGAGTGGATTTTTGTGTAAGGTGTAAGGTAGGGGTCTTGCTTCATGCTTCTGCACGTGGAAATCCAATTTTCCCAGCACCATTTATCCTGTTCAAATTATTAAAATATTCTGAAAGAAGATGGCAGTGATGCTTGAAAAGCATTGTTAATGTACTATATGCCATTGAACTGTAAACATTAAAATGGTTAGAATGGTAAGTTTTATGTTATTCATTTCTTAACATAAAAAGAGATTCTGAGTCAATCTTAATTCACAAGTTTATATAAAAATCAGGAATGCATATTTAACTATATATATTATATATGTTATGTATTTTTTGCATCTAATGAAATGTCCACATGATTCTTCCCCTTTTTCATTTTCATGTCTTTATTTTTCTTTTTCTTTTTTCTTTTTTTTTTTTTGACAGGCAGAGTGGACAGTGAGAGAGAGAGACAGAGAGAAAGGTCTTCCTTTGCCGTTGGTTCACCCTCCAATGGCCGCCATGGCCAGGGCGCTGCGGCCGGCGCACCGCGCTGATCCGATGGCAGGAG